ATATATCACTGTGGTATGATGTTTTTAATTCTTCTGGGAAGATACCGAGAAGCAGAGTAGCTGGGTCAAATGGGACCTCCAATCCTAGTTTTTTGAGGAATCTCCACGCTGATTTTCACAGTGGTTGCACCAGTCTACACTCCCACCAACAGTGGAGAGGGATTCCTTTATCCCTGTAGCTCCTCCAGCATTTGTTATTGGTTGATTTCTTCTTTTTCTTTTTCTTCTTCTTTTTTTTTTTTTTTTTTGGTACCAGGAATCAAATTCAGGACCTTGTGCTTGCCAGGCAGGCACTTGTGCCGCTGAACTGTATCCCCAGCTCTGCTGGATTTCTTGGTAATAGCCATTCTTTCTGGAGTGAGATGGAATCTCAGTGTTGTTTTAATTTGCATCTCTCAAATGACTAGTGCTGTTGAACTTTTTTATATATTTATTTGCTGTTTGTATTTCTCCATCTGAGACCATTTTTGGATTATTGAGTCTTTAAATTTGGGAGGTCTAATTTTTTTCAGTTCTTTATATGTTCTTGATAGTAATCCTTTGTCTGAGGAACAGCTGGCAAACATTTTTTCCCACATCATGGGTTGTCTCTTCACTCTGTTGGTGGTTTTTCTTGCTGTGCAAAAGCTTTTTAATAAGATGAGATCCCAGTTGTTTATTCTTTGTGATAGTTCCTGTGCGATCAGGCTTTTATTCATAAAGTCTTGGCCTACACCAATGTCTTAAAAAGTTTGACCTATGTTATCTATCTTCCAGCAGATTTAATGTTTCTCCTTTAATATTTAGATCTCTGATCCATTTTGAATTTAGTTTAGTGCATGGTGAAAGACATGGGTCCAATTCTAATCTTCAGCATGTGCAGAGCCAGTTTTATCAGCACCATTTCTTAAAGAGGCTATCTTTTTTCCAGTGAATGTGTTTGGTACTTTTGTCAAAGATAAGGTGGCTGAGTATGTTTGGAGTTGTTTCTGCATCTTCCAATCACTTCCATTGATCTTCAGGTATGTTTTCTTTGCCAGTATCACACTGTTTTTACCACTGTGGCTTTAGAGTACAATTTCAAGTCAGGTATTGTGATGCCCCCTGCTTTGCCTTTGTTGTCCAGAATTGCTTTTGCTCTTCTAGGTCTCTTCTGGTTCCAAATGAATTTTAGGATTGTTTTCTGTAATTCTATGAGATATACTATTAGAATTTTGATCGGAATTGCATTAAATCTGTATAACAGTTTTGGAAATATGGCCATTTTCACTATATTGGTTCTTCCTACTGAAAAGCAAGGGATACCTTTCCACTTTCTGATATCCTCTTCAGTTTTGTTTTTCAGAGTACTGTAGATTTCAATTTAGAGGTCTTTTACTTCCTTTGTTAGATTGATTCTTATGTTTTTTTTTTTTTGATGCTATTGTGAAAAGTGTTGTTTTCCTAATTTCTCTCTCTGTGAGTTTGTTATTTGTGTACAGGAATACTATTGATTTTTGAATGATGATTTTGTATCCAGCTAAGCTACTGAATTTGTTTATTAAATCTAGCACATTTTTAGTGGAGTTTTATGGACTTCTTTGTAGAGTATCATGTATCTGCAAAAAATGATAGTTTGACTTCTTCCTTTCACGTCGTTATTCCTTTTCTTTCTCTTGTCTAATTACTCTGGCTAAAGTTTTCAGGAGTATGTTGAGAAAGAGTGGAGACAGTGGTCATCTGTGTCTTGTTCCTGATTTTAGAGAGAAAGTTTTCAGGTTTTTTCCATTTAGTATGATGTTGGATGTTGGTTTGTCATACATGGTTTTTATCAGATTGAGATAGAGACAATCCATTCCAATTTTCTTAGGGATTTTATCGTGAATGGGTGCTGGACTTTGTCAGAAGCTTTTTCTGCATCTGTTGAGATGATCATATGATTATTGTTCTTGGCTCTGTGAATATGGTGTATTGCATTTATTGATTTACATCTGTGGAACTATCCCTGCATCCTTGGGATGAATCCTACTTGGTCATGGTGTATAATCTTCTTGATGATTTCCTGCATTCTGTTTGCCAGTATCTTATTGAAGTTTTTTACATCTATGTTCATTAGGGAGATTGGCCTGTAATACACTTTCTTAGGTGGGTCCTTCATCTGTTTTGGTATCAGGGAAATGATTACTTTCAGGATTGAACTTGGGAGTATTGCTTCCCTTTCAATTTCATTAAAGAGTTTGAGATGTAGTGGTTTTAGGTCTTCTCTGAATTTCTTGCAGAGCCTGGGATATAGCTCAGCAGCATAGTGCCTGCCTGGCAAATGTGAGGTTGTGAGTTCAATTCCTGGTACCTAAAAATTTCTTGTAGAATTCAGCAGTGAATCTGTCAGGGCCTGGGCTTTTCTTTGTTGGTA